GAAGGCTGTTCCAACTGTTCAACTTCTGACTTTGGATGTTGCGCAGATAATGTGACTGAGGCTACAGGGCCCAATAGCAAAGGATGCCCAGAGTATGATCCCAGTGCTGCAGAAGGAAGTGGGGTAGCAGACGAAGCAGTTGTGAAGGAGCCGCAGGAAATAGTGGAAGAACCGGAAAAGGAAGATGAGAAGACGGAGTTTGTCATCTTGCTTTTCTGGCTGCATATTGAACTATTTTTATGTTATTACACTTTTATCAATTGCAGGTTATGTGAGGTAACTAATAAAAAAACTGGTGTCAAGGTGAATGTTAGTTGTTCGCTGGGTAATGGTACGATTGAAGATGCTGAGCTGTTTGAAAATATCACAGCAGCTGATGCTACTTTACATTGTTCGAAGAGCAAATATGGGTGCTGTCCTGATTGGGTCACTCCTGCAGAAGGCAAGAACAATGAGGGTTGCCCAAAATATATTTTAGGTTGTTCTTTAGTTGTTTTCTTGGATGTGCATTTATCTGTCTTTTTTGGGGACATATATTACGTTTAACCGTATATGGTTAAGGGACTTGCAATGAAACTACTTTTGGATGTTGCCCAGACAATTTAACCATGGCACGTGGATTGCACCAGGAAGGATGCGGTGATCCGTCCTGTGCAGCATCGCTCTACGGTTGCTGTAAAGACGGTAAAAAGATCGCTTTTGGTCCACATTACGCAGGTAAAGATTTCTTTTCTCATTTTCAGGTGAAAAAGCGTTTCTCACTCTTCAGTCTAAGACCAATGTTAATAAAATAATTCAGGTTGCGAGCGATCTGCGTATCCTTGCGAATTGATGACCTACGGCTGCTGTCCTGATGGCAAAACTGCGGCGCTTGGCGAAAATGGGAAAGGATGTAACGTATCATGTTTGATCACCAAATTCGGTTGCTGCCCTGATGGAATGACAGCAGCTAAAGGGCCTAACAACGAGGGTTTGCTGCAGTGAACTTTATTTCATTATTTTGCGCCATAAATATAACTGGAAATAATTGTTTGTCGAGATCGTACCAAATTTCTATGAAAATTAACTTCTTCGCCTAAAGAAATTTTATATTTAATCTTAAGTTACAGGATGTGGTTGCGCGTTTGCTCCTTATGGATGTTGTCCCGACGGTAAAACAGCGGCAAAGGGTCAGTCATTTTTTGGATGCCCTGAGTCTTGTGCACGCAGTCAGTTTGGTTGTTGTCCAGACGGTAAGACGGTAGCACTCGGAGAGAATAAAGAAGGTAAATTATAATATACAGTTTTGTTTTCAGTTGTTTACAGTGGTTTTGCAGGTTATTTTTCAGAAATATGCTAGATGAGTAGGATAAATTTCTTGTTGAATGAGGTATTTAGATTTACTAATGACTTGAGTGGTATTTTTTCATGAATTTTACAGGTTGTCCTTGTCGATATACACAGTACGGCTGTTGTCCAGATGGTGAAACCGCTGCTATCGGACCGAATTACGCTGGTTGTGACGAGTGTCGCTACACAAAGTTGGTTATTCTGTCAGCGGTTACTTGTTCCTTTTTTTTCTCTTTATTTTTTAACTCGCTAGCCTCATATTTTAAACGATTAATATTATTTCAGGTTTGGCTGTTGTGCAGATGGCATATCACGAGCATTAGGCCCTAGTTTTGCTGGTTGTCCGACAACCACTGTGGCTCCATTCATAATTGAAGGCACTGTAGCTCCGGAGAGGATTTGTATCAATTTTCAGCTTCTTCTGAAACACTTTTGGTTTTCATCAGTAATAGGTTACAATCCAAGCTGTTCAGCGCACCTTAAAGTTAATCTATTTTAGCTGCTTGTTCGTTGCCACAAGAACCGGGAAGGGCTTGCCAGCCATACAAACTTATGTGGTTCTATGATACTACGGAAGGAATATGTTCTCAGTTTTGGTTTGCCGGATGTGATGGCAATGAAAATCGTTTCTCTACACGCGAGCAGTGTGAAGTGACCTGTGTACAACCGCCAGCTAAAGGTTATTTTTGAGTGCTATTTCATTCTAAAATTGGGCCGTTAACCATTTGCTATTCAATCATCGTTACAAAACATGTTGATTGCATTTTCTGCTTTATTTAATTCCAGGTAGATGCTATTTGCCTAAAGTTGAAGGCCCTATAAGTTGTAACGCATTATCAGCTCGTTACTGGTACGATCATAACACTAGGCAATGTGGAGCATTTTGGTGGAGAGGTTGTCGTGGAAATGCTAACAATTTTGAGAGTTGGGAAAAATGTCAGGAGTTTTGTGCCGGTATTGGACCAATAAGTGCAGAAGTTCTCCCTGTTCCATACAGTGAGATCAGTGGAAAGCGGGTTCCGGATGGTAGAGTAGAAGTTCCACCCTCGCTTACGTACCGACCTGGAGATTCTGTTCACGGTGTTACTGAGCCTCCTCACCTATACAGTAAATTTTTATTACTTAATTCTATTGAAAGAATTACTACTTCAACTTACGTTGCAAATTTACAGAAAACGCAGAAGATATTTGTCGTCTGAATCCTGAAAGTGGTCCGTGCAATAACTTTGAACCGTATTACTATTTCGATTCAAGACGTGGTCAGTGTTACCCATTCAATTACGGTGGTTGTTTGGGAAATCCGAATCGATATAGGACTAAAGAAGAGTGTGTGAGACGATGTGGTCACTACGGTGTTGCAGTAACACGTAAGTAAATTTTTACTGAAGAATCTTGCGTTTTTTAACAAACTGTTCATTATGAAAAATTATAAATGTGCTGTTCTTCGTAGAGTTATTAAACTCTGCAAGCAGTTTACCATAATCACCTCATTTCATTTTTATTGGTTAAACTTTCTTAAAATTTTGCTTTGAGTTAGCTTTTTTCTAGCGTACGGGTATCGGATGGTACTTCATCCTGATCGCACTGCAACGGCAGCCCCGGCAGCCCCTCCAGTAACCCAGACTATTCCTAGGAACAGGCATCATTTTGGCCACGAAGTTGAGGCGCCCGCGGAGCGTCCGTCATACTACAGTGAGCAAAACTATTGTTTCCTAGCTTCAGTAGCAATTATCTTGGTGCTACAAAATCCGTATGAATTTGCTTTCATTAAACATCGGTCGTTTAGCGAAAACTCGTGAAGCATGCAACGAACGTATGGATGTCGGTACTTGTCGCGGCTCATTTGAAAGCTACTATTTTGAGAAAACCACTGGCCAATGCCAACCATTCCGATATTCGGGTTGTGGAGGTACTGGTAATCGGTTCCATACGAAGGAGGAATGTGAAGAGCTGTGTCTGCGACCTTCGCGAACGAAACAGCAGATTTATGGGCGTCCTGTAAAACCACTTCAAACTGCGGAATCTCCTGCGCAACAACCGGCTGGTAAAAAAAACTTTTGTAGTTTTTTTTCTGCTGAGAGTTTGTAAATATTGATCATTAATTTTATAGTTTTTTAAAATCAAGGAATCAGCATTTTTTAGAAGATAGATCTTCTTCGCCGTGTGAGTTGCCCAAAGATTCCGGACGCTGCAATAAATACGAAACAAAGTGGTATTATAACAAAGCTGATGGCACATGTACACGTTTCCATTATGGTGGCTGTGAAGGCAATGCAAATCGCTTCGACACAGAACATCAGTGTAAAAAGGCTTGTGGTGATTTTGCAGGTAAAATTGTTTTGTATATAACCTCTTCTTTTCTTTTTTCTAATTTGAAGGATTTTTGAACAGCTGAATCTTTTTTTAGATGCTTGTACACTTCCAAAAGTTGTTGGTCCATGTTCCGGAAAACATGAACGGTTCTACTATGATTCGACTAGTCGATCATGTGTGTCGTTTGAGTACGGTGGTTGTCTTGGAAATTCAAACAACTTCTTGACGGTTGAGGAATGTGAAAGGCGTTGCGGCGCTTCTTCAAATCGTAAGTAGAACTGGCGAAAGTACTTTTCATGTAATCTCAACTTTTTTTCTGACTCTTCTCAAGTTCTCCTTTTGTTTTGGTTTTAAAAGAAACTGATATATTTTACATGTTAATTTATT